TATTTATTTGCCGTTTGTATCTCCTTGTCTGAGAAATGTGTGTTCATCTCCACTGCCCATTTTTGGATTGGGTCTTTGAATTTGGAGGGGCTGAAATTTTTTAATTCTTTATATGTTCTAGATAGAAGCCCTTAACCCTGATCCTTTATACCCCGTCTTTCCTGTACCTGGAAAGCTGTCTGGCGTCTACCTCCCACTTCCGGTTGGGCAAGGAAATGGTGTCAGGGGCTATTTTATGTCCTGTAAGTCTCAGCTTCCTAGCCTCAGTAGCTCTTTCTGCTTTCTGCCCTGTTTTTATTACATTACCTTTTATTTCCTTCATGAAGTTGTTTTTCCCTACTTGTCTGACTTTCCCATGAAAAGGAAGTTCCTGCCACCCCTAGTAGGTCATCAGTATAGTACCTGCTGTTTAGTGTATGTTTTTGGTGAATGAATGACAGTAACATAGGGATTCCTGACACAGTATTTCTCTGTAGTGATGCTGCTTCAAAAGTCATGGTGGAATTGCTTGGAAGTTACACGGAGGACAACGCTTCTCAGGCACGCGTCGATGCCCACAGGTAACACTGAACATTGCTGTGGCAAGGGCTCCTCAGCAGCGCTCAGGCGAGTTAGAGTCTTCAGTTATAAAGCTCTGAAATCAAGCTTGTCACCACGAGTAAGCCAAGACAGTTCACGGTTCCCTGGTGATTCTGATGCAGGTTCTGAGATTCAGGCTCAGTGTTAAGCCATAGGTTGCGTGCGAAGTGGCCACTGGTGGTCACTGTGGGATGATGGTTGGGGGTAATAGTCCTCACCTATGAACGAGACCCTAATCTTGAATCAGGTTAGCTTAACATTAAGGTATATGAGTGCGGAAAATTTGTTGACTTGCTAGAAATTAGCCTATTGCTGATGAGAAAATAAGGGCTTTAAGCAGTCCTAGATCTCACTAGTAACAGTAAGAATAATTGTTTTTGTTTTTTAAATGAAACTCCTTTTATAGGGTTATTGCTCTAGTAGACCTGTACATGCTAAGAGATGGTGAGGCGGGTAGGTGGGGTGGAGGCCTTAGACGGCCTGCGTTCAGGTTGTACTCCACCCCTCCTTTAACGAGCTATTAGGCAAGTTCTCAGCAGCGCACAGGGGCCGATGCTCACGTGTGCCTCTGGGATATTTGTGAGGGTTAAAGAAGACGAGTGGCCCTAAAGCCCTTGTCTGGCTCCTGGTAAGGTGTGGCTGCAGTAGGCTCTTCATTAATTACTGGTGTTTTCTCTTCAGCTGTGTTTTATTTCCTTATGTTAAAACAGATAAACTTGGTAAAACAATTTATTAGCTTGTTTCATCTCCTTCCTGTACCTTTTCAGTGGTGTGTGTATATTTGACTCTTAGTTTGCTGAGTTAAGTACATTTTGTGATCTACAAAGAGACAGTGGAAAGCAAAGATTTCAAAATGCTGAGTTTGCTTTTTTGTTTTCCAATAAAGGTGCATTGTACGAGCATTGAAAGACCCAAATGCATTTCTTTTTGACCATCTTCTTACTTTAAAGCCAGTCAAGTTTCTGGAAGGCGAGCTTATTCATGATGTAAGTAGCTTGTCCTTCAGTACGAAAAGCATCCTTTCCCTGAATGCAGCACGCTGAAGCAACATTACCCTTTGCCTTTGGATGAACCAATGGGTCTCCATATCAGGAACAGCAGTTTGGGGCCACAACTGTCCCCAGCCCCGGAATAGTCCTGTTCTTCCTCCCTCTCTTTCCTCTGATTTGGCTTGGCCATTATGGACTTCAGTAATGCACATTTCTTCTTTTATTACATAATGTCGCTACCCCCATTAGGAAGATAAATCAAATATTTGGGTTACATTCCATTTGGGCTATGCCATTAACCATCTTTTAGTGCAGATAATTTAGAGCTCACTGTGTATGCTGATTATTTCATTTGAAAAGTGAACAATGTGAAAGCAGAGGGATTGAGCAATGATTTGATGAAACTGATATTTCTGCAGTTATTGTCAGTGCCGTAAATATCTTGAGTATGAATCTTTATTCTATATTGACAGGATCTTTTTTGTCTCATCTGTATAGCTTTTAACCATTTTTGTGAGTGCTAAATTGGCATCATATGTCAAGTTTTATCAGAATAACAAAGACTTCATTGATTCACTTGGTAAGTTTTGGGGTTTATCCGCTGGGGGATAGTTCATGGGAACATGCTACTGTATAGCAGTTGTGCGCTGCAAGATCTGCACATACAGTTGTAGCTTCATCTGTATTCCTCTGAGTGGCCTACCATACAACAACAGGAACAAAGGTTAAATGGACAGTTTAAAAGATTACTTAGGAAAGATGTTGTGCTGTTATTTATACACCTTTAATCCTAGCTTCTTCAGAGGCTGAGGCAGGAGTAGTTGAAATTCAAGGCCAGTCTGGGCAACATAGCAAGACCCTGTCTCAAAAAACTTTTTGAGTGATAGGGGCTGGGGATGTAGCTCAGTGGTGGAGTGCTTGCCTACCACACACCTGGCCCTGTTCCATCCCCAGTGCTACACGGAGAATCACAAACCAAACAGGATATAAGGTGGAGCATGAAACTAACTTTCTAGGACCCTGGACCTTTTCTCTCCATAAGAGCTTGTTGGACTTGGGGCCCTTCAGCTCTGCGAATGCCATGATTCTTGTTAAGTTGTAGCTAGAGTCAGGTGCCTGGAGATTCAGGTAGGAATAGTTCTGTGGATGCCTGTGCTTTTAAAATTGGATGAGAGGTGAAAGATCACTGTCACTTTGATCAGGATGGTGCTTTGGAGTACTCGTTTTAAGAGATGATTAAAGGCACTTTGTGAAGCTAAAGGTTATTGTTTAAAATAAAATAGTGTAGAAGGCCTTAATTCCTTAGATGGGTAGTGATTGCATTTTTAGCCAGCCCTCCAACCTGCCAAGTAGCTACAAAATGGTAGCAGAAAACATTTTTCCCTCCTGTAATTGTGTTTCTTATGCTTGGATCCCTCCTACCACCAGAAATTGAAGAATTACAAAAGAAATAGCACTGCTACTTAGAAATAGATGTATAATGATTTTGCACGATAGTAGAAACTTTCCCAGGTCTAGTTTGTTGAAGATAGCATTAGAAATCTAATTTTCAGGCCTGAACTTTGTTGTCTTCAATCAGTCTTCATGCACCAGAGTTCAGTATCATTTGCCAAATTGAATTGAATCTTGTCAAACTGTCTAGAGCTTTCAGTGATACAAAGAGCTCGCTGTGGCATGTGTGCCCTAGGTTCGCCATCACTGCTATATACATGTTGTATTTTTATTTCCTTCTGGAGCATGTTTTTAACATACTAAAACTACATAGAGAATACTTATGAAAAATCTCTAGTTGAACAAGTTTTGAATGTTCTAAAAGACAGTTTTTTGTTTTTTTTTTTTACAGCAAATCAACTATGAAAGTAAGGGACTTTGTTTAGGCAGTAATCAGAATATAGGAGAAGGTGATGATATGTTTCATGTTAAAATTGAATTTTAGTCTTCTAGGTTGTTTGAGCTGTAGATGTACAATTATAGTCTACTTGGTTATACTTAGTTTTCAGCATGGTGATCATTAATTCCTGTCACCCGTGAATTTTGTGCAGCCATTGGAATTGGGGAAGATTGACTTTACTTGTTCACAAGGCATTTGAAATACGCCAAGATTAAGTAGATGCAAGAGTGTTGGTGTGGAGTGCTTTGCCAGGTGCACTAGACCCAGACAACCACATTCTGTCCCAGTTAATTTGCTTTGTGGCATGAAGCCCTGTGATGGAATGTTAATGTCAGCACCCTCTTTATTTACGCACCGAGGCAAGAGGAGTAGTAATTAACACTTTGACACTCCCCCATTGATGTGTAATTGACTGTTTCAAAGGAGCACTGGTTCATAAGCTATTGCATGCATTAAAATTGGGTTTTCTATATCGCAGCATTTTAGGACAGGGGTCAGTGACAATGCAGAAATTGCTCAATGATGCACATTTTTTTATTACTGCATTAAGGTTTTGACATATTAGTAATGAATAAATGTTTCCATAAAATTAGATTTTTTATAACTTTAGAAGTGAAATATGGGGCAGAGCACTATGGCTCCTTGAAGGTAGTATTCCAGTTAGACGAAACAAAGCCCCAAGCCTCCGCTCTGACTTCACTGGGTCTTTCTCAAGAGTATGAACATTTTTGTCTCAAGAGACGAAACGCTGGATGTTTGCGTCTTTGTTTTAAAAGAACGACTTTAAGGGCTGGGGATTTAGCTCAGCGGCACAGCGCTTGCCTGGCAAGCGCGGGGTCATGAATTTGATTACCGGTACCGGGGGAGTAAAACACCAAAAAAAAAGTAAAAGGATGACTTTAAATGTCAGTTTAAACTCCTCAGATACAAGTTTCCACATGTAGAATAGATAATGATTTATATAATTCCTTCTAGAAATAATCTTTACTGTTACTTTTGTTTATTTACGGTAAGATGGTAACTGCACAAAGTAGCAGTAGATTTAAAGAGTATTTTTAATAATACCTCAGTATTGGCAGGAATTTCTATCATTTTATCATATTAAGAGAGAACCATAGATACCCATAGTATTAGGAATATTAAGGAATTTTTTAGAGTCTTTTAACTTGCTCTCATAGGAAAAATTTGTAACATTGCAAATTTATTTTGCCAATTAGAAATCATTTCCTAATTTGCTTTTGTTTTGTGAACATGTATGCAAATTAAACATCTTCTATTAGAAGTTTGTTGGTATAAGATGCTTTGATAAAAATACTTCTGTGTATGTGTATGTTTTGAGTTGTGATTGTATTATTTGACGTTACAGCTAAAAGTCAGGTTACAGATGTCTGGATTCCACAGGTGGCACCCATTTGTCAAAACATTTTTTATTAATACTGATGACTTAGGCCAACGGCGTCATTACCCTGTGTCAGCTGCATTGCCCTGACATGGCCACATGTAGTCTAGTGTTAGCCAGTTGCTAGCTTCTTGTTTCAGAAAGTTAATCAGCATCCGATTTGCATTTGTTAATTAGGGTTAATGTGCACTAATTGATTTTTTGTTGCTTGTAGATTTTCATTAAACCCAGTTAGCAATACTTCCTTGTGTACCTCATTCATTTGAGTTATGATAATCATGTTTTGTTGAGTCTCTGCCAGATAGGAAGCTGGTATCATAATTACAGCTAATTAACAGATGATCATGCCATATATTAATGGGCTCCCCTAGTCTTCACTGTATGTGAATGTTATAAATTTCAGATTTATTTATGGGGTGCTTAGGTAACTTTTCAACAATATAAACTTGAGGCTCTGAATTACTAAAAGGCATATAATTGATCATGTGCTAAATTTACATAATTTGAAAGTTAAGAGTTAACATAGAAGTAATTATAAGTAAGTTTTAGAAACGTCTTTATAAAAGTACATTGCCATTAAAAGAAGTGTATATGATACTCTGTTATAATGGTACTTCTCCTTAAGACCAGGTAATGATGTGAGTTTGTACCTGGTAATATGATCAGCGATTTAATGTTTGCTCCTTGGCTGTGTTTTGAAGTAACAAGATCGGGACTTAGGTAACTTAAGTTTCCTTCTAGGTTGAACAGTTTTTTGTTCTGAATATTAGTACTGTCATGTTTCATGAGAAATTACAATGCAGAATTGGAATTATTTGTATGATTTTCTACCTTTGCATTTTAAAACAAGTATCACTATTAGTTGTACTTTTTCATCTAGTACTAAGTATTTTGGCCTGTAAATGTTAAGTGATAAACATTTTTTGGCAGTTTTGAGTTGTAAAATTGAGTCCAAAGTGACCTGAAGGGAAATGGAAATGTTTTCATAACTTAAAATATTTACAAAAAAATATTACAACATCAGATCTACTAGTGATAGCAACACAAAGCGTGCTAAATAAGTAGGGAATCATGTGCGTTTAAAGGAAGCTATTAGTGAAAATAAGCTTAGGTGATTGAACTAGGAAATGGTACTTTGTGGGTTTTATCTCCTGAAATGTACAAATACAAAAATGTAAGATGTATAAAATTTTAGTATCTAAAAATGTCTTTTCATAGTCCATTTTTTTGGACTTTTGTGGCATGGTCGTAATGACGAAATATAGGCCTGTGAGGTAGGTAGAGAGGATAGATGTGATATACTTGTATCAAAATGTAAAGCCTGTTGTATACAACTAGTATGCACTAGTAATTATAATAAAAGAAATGTAGGTCCACAAAAATTAAATATTCATTAGTTTATTATGGGGTTAGTTTATGGTTAACAAATGGTTTTTCTGAAAATTGCTTGTGTTAAGTGCTCAAACCCAGTGATCTTCACAGCTTACCTGAGTTGTGATTGTGTGGCCCTTGAGTTAGTTCAGATCCTCCATTCTGTTCTTTAGGCCTCATACATGAGCAGAACATGGCAAAGATGAGACTGCTCACTTTTATGGGAATGGCAGTGGAGAACAAAGAGATTTCCTTTGATACCATGCAGCAAGAACTTCAGATTGGAGCTGATGATGTAGAAGCCTTTGTGATTGATGGTAAGGTAACTGGAATGTTTGAGTTGTAGGATTTCTGCTATGAGGAGTTTTTGTCTTTAACCTTATGCTAATGTGGCATGTGATTGTATTTAGTACATTAGCAGGCAAATTTGTAATGTGACGATTCAATGGTATATAAAGTGTGTGGTTTTGGTATTGTCTGCTGAAATCACATAGAATAGGCAGAGTGCTGTAGTGGTTAAGAGCAGGCCCCTAAATAACCAGAATGCAGTTCATTTGTGATTGTGAGGAGTGAATGAATTAATGCAGATAAAGCACCATGCCTGGTACCAGCACATGATCTGCAGATTAGCTCAGAAACAGGAATTTCTTTCCTAGAAATTGCAGATAAAGTGATATAGCTGTTAATCAGGACATTTTTCCAAACTTTCAAGCTTGAGGATCTGATCAGTGTCTGCAGTGACAATGAAAAATGAGTAGATGTGTAGAAGTACTGACATAGTTTCTTTCTAGTGCTCCAAGTCTCTGGTGGTCCTGTACAAACCAGAGGCTTATTAAGGGAATATGTCTCCCCCATGTGCTCACCATGGGGGAGAAAATGCCGTGCGCAGAACTGACAGAACGTGGGTTGGCTCAGCAGCCATAGGACGGATGCGTGCCCTTCCTCTTGGCTGTGTCAGATTGCTCTCCCTCCCAGACGCTGATTTGCCAACATGCTGGAAAGAGTATAAACTTCATTATGGTCATGTGGTCACACCTCAGCTGTGTTTCTTGTAAATTTCCTATATAACATACCATGTAAAAAATCTTTTTCAGCGGTAAGAACAAAAATGGTCTACTGCAAAATTGATCAGACCCAGAGAAAAGTAGTTGTCAGGTAAGACATTTAATACCTTGCAGCATTTTGTAGGACAATTTGGTTTGATGTGATTACTTCACTTAAATGTTTAGAGAACTGAGGTTGGTGTTCTTTCACGTTGACTGTAGTTAAATAGTTGCCATTTATCATAATTTTATTAAAGTTCAGACTGAATGTGATTAGCTTATTTAATGAAAGAGTCCTATTTTCCAGCACATTTCATTTAATAGCCTAGCACTGGCTGGAATACTAATGACTTTTGTGTCCACTTTATAGAGTTGGTTAGGAGAATAGAAGGTTTTGATCGATATGGTGAAGATTTTTTAAAAACTAGCATTAACTCTTAAATTCTGTTATGTTTTCCATATATATTTAACTTTGCTCTTAACTCGGTTTAAGTGTGTAGTACTTTAAAAAGAATAGCAGAAGATAAAAGGTTGACTAATACTGTTTTTAATTTTTCAATTTTTAGTCATAGCACACATCGGACATTCGGAAAACAGCAGTGGCAGCAACTGTATGACACACTTAATGCCTGGAAACAAAACTTGAACAAAGTGAAAAACAGCCTTTTGAGTCTTTCTGATACCTGAATTTTTATGCATATAATTTTGTTCTTTCTTGGGAAAAAAATTTTAAATAATAGTAAAACGTTACAAACTAAAAACTTGTCTGGGTATTCATTGTCTCAAATTTGAATTAAAATCACAAGCTCTAGAGGGTAGAAAGTAGTAGATTAAAATGGTCATTCTGTCTATCTTAAATAGTACTTAAGTTTTATTCTGTAAAGGATACTGAGGGAACAGATGCTTTGAGAGAAGTATATGCAATAACAAGAGTTTAAGAGGCACTGGCTACTAAGGGTAAACACCAAATACAAGGTGGCTATCTTAACTGACCCTTGCAGACCCATATACCTTATCACACCAGGAGAGGTTACAAAAGTGAAGAGAGCTATAAAACTTGAGATGCAACAGCCACTTCATTCTAGTAAGAATGACATCAGCGTCAGTTACATCATTTCATCACCAGAAGCATTTGTCCATGTCAGTTAATCTGTTGTTTGCCCTAGCATCTCTCCTGCTTTTCTTTTTTTAGGCGTGTTGTCATTTTCTGAGCTTAGGTACTTTTCAGTTTCGGTGACTTGGTTTGGCACAAGGCTTTGCCAGTTGTCTTTGCCGGAAGAAGTGGCAGCCAGATCAGAAGGCTCTTCACTCCCGATGGCCTGAAAATGGCTTTGTAGCACAGACAGAACCGGAGGCTCTGCTTTCACCTAGGAAAGATCCGATTTGTTTTACTGTTGAGATAAGTGTAAAGAAGACTTTAAACACAATCTGGTCAGCCTCTGCCATGACAAGCATATGATAAAGCCAGCGTCTTCCTGGGTGATTTATAATAATGACTTGAGTAATCCTGGCACCAGAAAACTATACATTGTGAACTTGTAGGCTTATATGTTAGCTCTTGATAACCTAATATATTCCAGGGGGCCACAAATGTCTTCTAAAGGGTATTAAACATGCAGATAAAAATCAGTATTGTCTTCTACACCCTTCCCTTTCAAAACATGTCTGTTTTGTATCTTCTGTCAAAGCGTGGAGAAAACAAAAAAAATCAGACGGAAGTGAACTATAAAAACTGCCCTTTACTTCATGTTTCCTCTCATGCCTCAGAGACCCATGTTGAAGAAACAGGAAAGAGCAGTGAGGTATTTGGAAGCTGGCACGTTTCCAAAGTACTGAGTCCTGTTTGAGAAAATAAAGTCTGTTTTCAGAAATAAAACTTTTTCCTTCCAATTTTTTTTCTGATAATAAAAACTTACTGGAAATTTAGAAATAAAGAGAAATATATAAAGACCCTAAAAATCTTCAGTAATCCACTAGCCAGACAGGCCTGTCACTGTCTTAGTATTGTTTGCTGCTAGTCCTTTTTTCTATTTTTAGCATATTGAGTAATTCTTTTGTATTTTACATCTTGCCTTTCCTCTGAGAGGTTTCCTAGGTCTTCGCATTTTTCAACTGTTATGAAGTAGCTGCAGGATAACCCTTTTATGGATGTGTGATACTTGACCACCTCCTATTGAATAAGTTATTTATAGTTTATCTTATCAAAAGTAAATTCAAGATTTCATGGAAAAAAATTTTACATGGTCTTTAGATTTGCAGGTAAAATCTTTTATTTGAAAGGGAATACTAAATCACCTTAAGGTATTATCTTAAATAATCACCTGTGTTATTTTTTTTGGTTGTAACAGAAATATTTGTATTTTAGAAATACCAAACAGGATATAGACTGCATTAGAATCACCCAGGACCATTTGTTCACAAATTTTTGTGCTCTTTTGTTGTTTTATTAAAATCTTTTGCAGTCTGACTGGTAGAAGTGACCCATCAGTAATAACATGGTCACCTGGAGTGGAATTAGTAAAGTTTATTTTTAGATGAGTTTAAATGTCTAGGATTGCTCCTTTTGGGCTGCTCTACCCGCTCAGCCTCCGGTCCTCCCTGAGCCCCACCTCTGACCTCTGGAGTCCTCAGCCTTTTTTCACTCCCAGATGAGGGCCTGGTGTGGGATAAAACTTGGCATAGGATGCATGTTTCTGATCCTGTCTGCCCGGGAACTGCGTCCCACAGACCTGATTTAGCTCATAGGACCAGAGTGAACTCTACATCCCACATAATAGCAAGGATACAGTCAAAACCTATGTAAAATGATGATCCATTTGATGGTCCTATTTTGCCACCAAAGGCCATTGGCATCCAAGCACAAGCTGGCAATTTCCAAAATTCTGGTGGTTCTTTTATCTTGCTTCAGTTTGCTTAACAACCCACCTGGTGGGAGGGGTTGGAGCCGGGGTTGGCTGTGGAGAAACAAGGTGAAGTACAGAGACCTAAGGTCTGCACTTAGTAGACCTGGTCCTAGTCAGTGTGACTGGGCTTCCTGCAGCCTTCTGCAGCGGTCGTAGCTCCAGCTGTTGTCAGGTATGTTAGCACAGATCTTTGTGTTTTCCCCTCCTGTGTATTTTTAGAACTTTTCTTCACCACCTTCTTCCTCCTACCACCTAACATTTCCCTTAGCATGATCTACTAGTCCTTTTATTTCAGCCTGGGATGGGATGTGTAAAATAAATAGCTTGGCTTATTTAAGGCCTTCACTCGTGTATGTAATCAAGATTGCAGCAGACTACCAACCTAATAACTCTAAAAACAAGGGTAAAAGATACACTCCCCTTTCAAGTTGCTTTGGCCTATAGGGAGGAAGTGGAATGCTGCTTAATTGTCTTGAGTTAATAAACATAATTGGTGTAGAGTACATAAAATAGTTGGAAAAAATTTCTATTCCTTTTTCGGCTGTAAGTCTTCGTCAAATTCGTTTGTCCTCATTCAGACTAGGTGGTAGGCTTTTTCTGCTTTTTGGCTTTGTAAATCAAATGCCTCCCCTGACTGCTTATTCTACCCCTGCAGTGCAGAAGCAGACAGTAGGTAAAGGAGTAGGTAGGCATGGCTTTGCCTTAATAAAATTTTACTAAGATGTACTTTAGAATTTGTCTCATATTACATGATAATTAAGCTTAAGCTGGGATAATGGTTCTTAGCATATAATAATAAGCATTTAGAAAACGTCTGTTGAGCTAGGGACTGTAGCTTGTTTTATACACTCCAGTACTTCAAAAGGAAATTTTGTATTAGGATCTTTGAGAAAGCATAATACATTTGACCAAGAGCCAACAGATCTGGCGTAGGTCTGCTGCAGATTATTTCTAAACAACTCTGGAAAATCATCTCACATTTGTGTCACAACTGCAAAATAGAAAAAATTGTTTAAAGGATGCTGTGGGAATATTTTTTCAAAATGTTTAAAAATTCTATAAATGTAAATTCTTAAAAACAATCTTCACTGCGAGAAAGTACTCAGCCTAATTAGCACTGGGCATACGGCTTTTTGCTTCCAGCCTGGGGCTGACACAGCTGGCTGTAGCCAGAACCCAGGGCTGCGCCCAGCATCCACCCTGGAGCTGCGGCTGCACACCCTGCTGGGAAGGCTGCTGCGGAGCTCAGCGTGGGAAATGCGACAGGGACAGCTTCTGATTGTGCTATAGCTCCTGGGGAAGGGTTTCCTATCTCAAACTAAAAGCTGTTATTTGTTAATCATAAGAAATACTGTTGTTTCCATTATGTATGTGCTAAAGAAAGAGCTAACGAAAGCCTCTCGAGTTTACAAGGTGACTTCAGAGTCGCACTACGCAGTTTGAGAAGTAATCTTTCCTAACCTTTAAGTCACCTTTCATCAGTTACATGTTTTTTTTTTTTAAGACTGAATAGTACAGACTTGTTCTTGCTAAACTTCTGATATGCAAACCTTACACATTTAGACAAATAACCTGTTATCTAGAGTAAGTTGCTTTGCTTATGACAAATGGCCTCCTGGGACCCATGTGATCTCTACAGATACTTTGCTTAGCATACACATCCATGCTATCCTACACAGTGTGGATAGTCTGTGCTTTTGTGCGTGGTATTCTAACTGAAATAATGTCGGAAACTTCTTCCATCTTACTTTCCGAAGGTCATGTAAACTAGACATTATTAAAAACAATTAAGACTTGATGAGCTTACTTTTAAGCATCAGCTTTATTAATATGAAGTTCTGAATGCTCACATGCCACTACTTCTAAATTTAGGTGACTAGAAGTACACAGTGCAATGCCTCATACTCTCCCAAACAGGCTGGATTGTATCTCTTTGATTTATACACTGTGACTTTTTCCTGCTGTTTTCTATCAACCTTAATTGTGAAAAATGGTGCCACGTTGCCCTCTTGATATTCTTTTGGAGATCGGTTAGGTCTTAAAGCATCCAGATGCACACAGTTCTACACATAACTGCAGAATTAGCTCACTGAGGTCTGCTCAGCAATATTTTTAATTGACTTACATGTTCTGTGGGAAAAGGAGAACCATAAAACGTCTTTGCGGTTGCATTCCTCTCCTCACTGGGCGTTCTCTTGGGGTCTGGATGGATGGTCCCGTTACTCAGAGCATCAGCAACTCTGGTGATGCGGGCGGTGTCTGATTGACAGAGGAAATGGCAATGACTGAATTCTATTCTCTAGACCCTCGTTTTAGTGACAGCTTTGCAATCCAATGCTTTTGTATTTAAAAAGAAGTAATTCCTATTTTCTTTTTTACTTTAAATTTTAAGTTTTCTCAGACTTTCCTCTTATATTAGGCATTTCATGTCAGAAAACAAGGTTTTATTATTGTCTTTTCTGAAAACCTGCTAATTGCTATAATTTCACATCAAAAGGAGTGAGATGGCATAAATGTCTCCCTAAACAACACAACATGTTACCCTTATTACTCAGATTACTGCATTATCCACACATGTAAACATTTGTGTAATGACTGTTTTGTGAATTCATTAGTGGGGAAAGTCTGAACACAGCACAGATTTGTAAACTGCACTGAAGAAACTTGCCACGATAACTAGCCCAACAAAGGGCTCTTTAGAAGTCACCGGGCAGTAATAAATACATAAAAACAACTTTATAATTGCCTATCCAGTTTAAAAGATGTATATTTAATAAGTTTTATAAGTCACAGTTCTAGACATCATCAGTCCTTTTATTTTACATCACTGAAATATAGTTTAGAAGGACTTTGAGAAAACAGTGTTAGACTAGCCCATACAATGAATAGAACCTAAACTAAATTTTACTTAAAAATTACGGTTTGAGAAGTAAAAGTATACTTCGGCATTTTCTGTTTGTCTCTACATTTCTCGCAGTTGTTGGCAGTAGACAGACTGTTTTTAATCTTCAAGAATTAAAATTTTTTTTCTTCCTTACCTTGTTTAAAGAAGCCTATTAAATGAAAGGCCCACAAAAAGAATTAAGATATATGTACAAACTCCCCATGATAAATGAAATCATTATATACTGCAAACATACTAATAGAAAAGAAAAAAACTGAAGTCCCCCAAAAAGCCCTCCTTGTAACCCGTATTTCTTTAATGGGCCTAAATGCCATTGTTAAACCCAACAAGTTTCCTTACAATCTAAGAATGTCTTTTATACCAAACAATAACAAAGTAAGCATTTCTCTCATGATTGTACATCTTGAACTACTGCTTTTAAATCTTCAATGTAGTTATCGACCACCTATTCATGATTAAGTATTTTTATTAAAAAATCTACGAAAAAGACAAAAGGGAGAATAGGAACTTCAGTGTACCTATCACTCAACTTTCCCACCCGTCAGTGTTGCCGTGCGTATTTCATTGAGTTACCTTCTTTTTCTGGGGAATTTTAGAGCAAAACTTGGATATTACCTCAGTTCATGTGTTTATTTAAGAATAAAATATCTCCTTTATTCTCTAAGGTGTAAAACATTTGAATGTATTAATAGAAGTACATAATTATTAGGGCATTCAATTGAAAACGTCTTAGTGACAAACACCAGTGATATAAATTGTGGTGCTTTACTGTTGCTTATAAAACCAGAAAAGTGAGCTGGATTTGTGGTGCTGCAAAATGAACAGATAAAAACTGAGGAAAAAGGGAGGAAACGGGGAAGAAAGTGACGGGAGAGAAATTAAGATGTACAGAAAGAAAAGGAATAAACGTGCACATTGTCAGAAATGTTACCAGCTGCTGAAATTCATTAGCTCTGAGATGAAAAACTCAGTTACTTGTTCCTAATGTGAAATTAATGACCCACGCCTGTTTTTGCCGCCCTCTGATGACAGGAAAAATTTCCAAATGTGACTGTGCACACTGATAAGAATGGCCCAGATTGAGGTAAAAACAAATCTACTTCCACTTCAATAAAACCTTCCCCACTTTTACTTGCCCACATGTGTATGCAGTACAATGGGCTGATGCCAAATAAAATCACTTGAAATACAATCCATCTGGTGACTTTATCAAGAATAGTAAGTAGTAAAACAAATTTTAAGCATTAAAATATAACCTCGTTTTCTTACCTGGTCCGGCGTCCTTCCTGACATCATCCACACCAGCACTGTTACAGAGAGCCACTGAAATGGTCCTTGTGTTTTCCGATGGACCTGCTGGTCTCTCCTTCAGCAACAAAGGAGTGCTAGGCGTTGTCTGACCTGCAGTTTGATTTACTTTTGACCAAGCACTAGGGTCTAGGAAATTCATGTGTGCTGGCGTTTTCTCAGTTTTTTTATCTGAAGTGGGAAGATCAAAGGATGCCCTTCCACTTCTGTTTACTAAATCTTCAGATGGCTTTATGTGGAATGAATGTGATTTTCCCAGCTGTCCTTCCCTGTACATTTTTCCTGAAACGATGTCATTTAATGACTCTGCTCTCTCTGTATTCTTTAACAATGTATGCTGTCTTTCATTAACATTCACAGAAAGGAAGCGGTCATTTTCTCCTGCTTCAGTTCTCTGACTCTCATCTGTCTCCCTCGCACTGCAAACCTGTATGGTGGAAGGCTTCAAGCCTGTGTCTGGTGAAGCCTGCCTCTTTCCACTGTTAATCGGAAGAGCGGAAGTGGTCACACTGTTTCCTAAATATCCCAGGCAGTTCTTAAACTGGCTGTTCTGCGTAGCATTCATATCTTCCCGTATAGTTCTTTCCCCAGGGTTGGAACTGGGTGTCACCAACGCAGGCCTAATACCAATATTATCCGCATTCATAAGCGCTTTCTCACCAAAAGCAGCAGGTGGCATGGGGTGGTTGACAGTTACATCACAGGGAAGAGCTAGTTCAGGCTTCTCTGCAGTATCAGTCCGGACTTGCTGAAGACTTAAAGCTGGTTTAAAAGGCAATATACTACACTTACTGATTTTATTTAACAGCTGTTTGACATTACTTGAATACTGTGAACTGTATTTCTCACCCTGAATAGGATTCATCTTTGCATCTACAGATGAATCCAAACCTGGTTTGCCTTGGTTAGTAACTGCCCTCTTGGTCCCTGGATGGGATCTGAATTGCTGTTCAAATGGTTCATTTTCAGAAACATCTTTGTTATGATCTCTGTTGTAAGCCATCTCACGCACAGCACTGTCAGCTGAGGGGCTCTGTTCTTTGTTCTCCAGGCATACGTCTGCATGGTGAAGGCCTTTCGCTCCTACATGCATCTTTCCTGTTTCTACTGATATATCTTCCACTACAAATGGGTTACTTGGTGATTTAAATTCTGTGCATCTATTGTCTTTTTCCAGGTCCAGCTTGTCTTTTATTTCCATAGCAGCAGGTTTTCTGTGGTCAGTAACACTCCCAGTTAGTTGGGTGATTGCCTCTTTACTTGCACAGGGGACTTTGCTTAGGGAGACTCCGTGTTGATCTTTATTCTGAGATACATTTGTATCAGTTTCACTGTTGAAGCTTTTCTCAAAAAGCTGTGCATCTATCACAAGAACAAAGTAAAATATTACATGTTAAAGCCTGACTTTGTAGAACATACATGTATCACCTATTTTTGTAAAAACATAATTAGCTTTAACTATTTTATTAGCAAATAATTAAACAAACATAACATCAGTTTAACATGAATATTGAGTTCCCCACCTAACAAGCATATAGTTAGATGCTAAGTATTCATACCCTATGAAGTTTTTATTTCATAATAGCAAAAGTACTCTGGATTTAAGAAGAGGAAGCAAGTTGGAGTATGATAAAATAGTTTTTATTTCTCTAGTTGGCATCTCCTTTTGGACACAATACCTTGCCATTAAGCATGTAGCTGAGAAAAATTTACTCTAGCAGGATACAATCTAATTTTTATTACTACCCAGGTCCAGTAATATTCACAAGTTAACTTCCGAGTTGAACAGTGATCACTTTTTTAATCAGGACTGTAAATCTTATAAAACATTTATTAAATATTTTCAAGTTCTGGAATAGTTTTGGGCAAGACATCAATTGTATTCTCTGCGTTCTACCGATACCAAATCTTAAGTACAGTTAAAATAATCTCCAATACAAATGTCAGGACTCAAGGGGGCTTGAGTGCAGTCATTCTCTCTGCAACACCTCCACCAAGTGGCTGCTTCAGCCTAGGTTTGAACACCTTCAAACCTAAGTGCCGGCTTCAGCAACTCTCCTTCAAGGTGGAAGAGCGAGTCAGTCATCTTGGTGGCAGGCTCATTTCTGGATGACGAAGAGGGCTCTCTTCTGGCCATCAGAAAGCCACTGGTGAGCCAGAGATGTGGCGGCAGAAGCAAGAATCCAGAGAGCCCAGCGTAAGAGACGAGAGGGATAAGCAGAAACGCACCTTTTCCCCACAATACTCACTGTAAATATTGACCGTTAAAGATGAGCTTGAAGAACATGAGTTCTGCTGCCGGGTACAAGGGAAAGGGTGTTTCCGGCTATGCTACAAGGTCCTCAAAGCAAAGATGGCAGCTGACACTCCCCAAAATTCTGTAAAGGGCCCAGTGTGGTGCTTTGGTAGGTCCTTTTGATGAGAGAAAAACCCTTTACAACTTAGAAAATAACTTTCAGATTACCTTCTGTAATAACTTCTTCTGTAGGCAGACTTTCTCCCATTCGCTCCTTTTCTCTGTGCTCAGTATTGGAACAGAAACCCTTCGTATTTTCTTCCCTGCCTTCTTCCCCAGAATTATATTTCTGTATGACGGCCTTTCTTGAGTTTTTAGTTATTCCAGCATTTTCATTATTTACTTCTGGGACGTTCTAGGGTAAAATGGGAGGGATTTCTTTAATGTTAAAAAAGATGCTTAAAAAGTATAAAACATTTAAGCAAACTTTGCTAATAAAAGTGGTGTCTGTGTTTCCATTCAACCATTCAGCAATTTGTTTGAAAACCAAATGACTTAAGTTCACTTTCGTAGTCTACCATAATTAAACAAAATGGACACCATCTATGTTTTCAAACGTGAGTACCACATTATCATACCACACGTGATAGAACAGAACAGCCACCCCCTTCAACAAGCAGGCAAACTGGAGCTGTGGTGGGTGAGGTAGGCCAAGTGCTTCAAGTGGTGTTTGTTTGGGTCTTTAAAGCAGTGGGTGAGCTCCACGCCCTCTCTCCCCCTGTCCCTGAGCACAAGTCACTGCGAGGCATTGAATGAGGCTTTGGGATCCCACATGAACACGGTCCAGTCCTCCGGGAGTGTACAGCCTGGTATACAGACAAGAGAAACAACAGCCAAGTGTAATCGCTAGAAAGCTCTGCTTGGTGCAGAGAGGGAGAGCCCCAGTACTGCCTTCGAGAGTCAGGGACAGGCTTTTCAGAGGAGGCGGAGCTAAACAGAGACAGAGTCACATGTGATGTCCAGGGAGAACAAACTACTGATGTGTGAGAAGATGGTTGTCCAGTCACAGAACTAGGAGTGACCCCATGTGGCTGCAGCTTAGATGCAGGGAGGGGACGGGAGGAAAGAAGGAAGCTTGAGGCACGCTGGGCCTCAGGTCACGGAGGGCCCAATGTAACATGCTAAGGAAGTTCAGCCCTGCCAGGAGGATGTGGCACGCCACTGAGTGGCTCGGCAAGGGATGGCCCAAGTGGCCGACTGGAGAGGTCATCCGATGCACTGTAAAGAGCAATGAGTGCTTCAGCCTCACTGACAAGAACCAGCACTGGGCAATGTTTAGAACTCAGGACACATCACGTTCTCCATCTTCATTTTCACCAGCACACACCAGGAGGGCGCCACGACCATGTATAGTCAAACTCATGCCCAAGATTTATTACAACAAAAAGACAAAAGCAAAACAAAATAGGCAAAGACCTGCAGCAGAGGTGGAGGGAACCAGTCATGAGCGTCCCAGGGTCATCTCTCAGTGAAGTCACAAAGGAAGTGTAGCAACACATGTGCACTGCTGTCTACCAGGGAAGCTCCTGAGAGACTTGCTGCCCAAGACTGGTCCCACAGGCACTTCTGCCTGCAAGCAGTGGACTCCAGCAAGAAAACGATGTCCAGAAGAGACCATGTCTTTGGTACTAACACTTCATACGCTGTGAGCCACTGCTGTCAGGAAAGGGTGAGAGCCTGTCCCAAATCACATTTCCAGGAAGGAGCCCGGGCCAACCTTACAAGCCGGCCCTTCTAAGGACAGTGTCCACAGGCTTGTTGTGACTATTTTCTATACCCCTACACAAGAAATGCAGACTTTCATCAATAGCCCTGTAATTTAAATAGTGAATTTGTTATTTAAAATATTCCCATCAAGATAAAGCCCAGACAGCTTCACTGGTGAGTTCTACTTAACAATAAAGAATACCAATTCTAGGGCTGGGGATTTAGCTCAGCGGCAAAAGCGCCTGCCTGGCAAGCACAAGGTCGTGAGTTCGGTTCCTGGTACCGGAGAAAAACCAAAAAAAAAAAAAGAATACCAATTCTAGACAGACTTTTCCAGGAGATACTGGAGGAGGAACATACTCCAACTCAGGTTATGAGGTGGCCAGTAGTATTCCTTATACAAAACACAGACAAACAAAGGAAAAATAAGGAAAACCTATACACCAGAACTGCTTATCCATGCTAAGTCTTTATTAAGGCATTTGCAATTCAAATCCAACCATATAGAAAAAGGATAATGCCTTAGACCACCTGGAGTTTATCACAAGAATACAAGGTTATTTTAACATTTGAAAGTCAATTAATAGCAACTAGATTTTTAAAAATGTAATCTCGATAGATACAGAAAAAGTGTTTGACAAAATTTAATGCCCATTCATGATAAAAACTCAGCATGCCAAGAATAGAAGGAAACTTTCTCAACTTGATAAGAAATATAAACAAGAACCAATAGATATCAGTACGAATGATGAGAGACAAAATACTCGCCATTTAAGGTGAGAAGCAAAGCAAGTGCCTCCCTCTCACAGTATTATTCACCATCATGCCAGAGGTTCCCAGCTCATGCAGTTGAGACAAAGAAAATGCATACTATATGAAACAGCTATACAACACCTTTTAAAATGAAGTCAATGTACAAAAATCAATTTTACTTCTATATAGGTCCAATTAACATTTTGAAAAAAAAATTTTAAATACTACTCACAAAAGGCCGGGGGTGGGAGTGGTTCAGTGGTAAAGGCATGCTTAGTACGCACTAGGCCTGGGTTCAATCCCTGGCACCAAGCAAAACAAAGCAACTCGTACACCAGGGTCCCCAACATGAAATACTCAGAAATAAATCTAACCAAGCATTTGCAAGACCTATACAATGAAAACAACAAAGCATTTCTGAGGTATTTTAAAAATATCCCCTCCAAATGGAGACCTACATTTTGTTCACAGTCTCAAAATATTGCTAAAATATCAATTCTTCACAAATTACTCTATAGATTTAACACAGCACAAGCAAAATCCCACAGACTCTTTTTAGAAATTGACAAAATGATTCTAAAAGTGATATGGAAATATAAAGGATCCAGAAGAGCAAAAAGTGATTTTAAAAAAGTGATTTTAAAAGAGAACAACAAATTATATACCACATTTAAAACATTCTTAAAAAGCTAGCCAGGCATAGGGACACATGTCTGTAATCCCACCACTTGGAAGACTGAAGCAGGAAGATTGCTGTGAGTTCAAGTCCAGCCTGGGTTACACAGTTCAAGGGCAGCCTGAACTATATAATGAGACCCTGTCTCAAAAAAAAAAAGCTTAACACTACTAAAGATAATGTGGTATTGGCTCAAATACAGATATATAATCAATAGAACAAAATGAGTCCAGAAATATGGTAAACTAATTTTCCAAGAAAATACCAAGGTATAACAGGAGAAAGAATAGTCTTTACAACAACAGTTGTGTCCTGGGACAAATGAAAATCCGTATTGAAAAAGATTCTTGATCCTATGTCATACAACACACAAAAGTTTACTCAAATATGTTATAGACTACGTGCTTATCCTCATTTTTTGAAGTTGAGAAACTTAAAATATAAAACAGGTTGAAAAACATCAGTGATATCTGTGGTGGATTAACTAATAGGCAACTTATAACACCCCGCTGAACTGAATCAGTTCAGGTGTGGAAGGCCCACCTGAGGACTATTGCCAACAGCGTAAAAAAAAGAAACTAGAGAGGAAGATAATGAGCTGTTGACTCTCCTGGAGAAGCTTTCCTGATATGAACTCGGCTGTTCTCATCATTGGACGTGCTCAAGACCTCAATGTTGCTGAGGATGACTGCGGTTTTCTGTGGGGGAGCTCTGGTCCTTACTCTGAGCATTGCTTCCTGGCTCCAGTGCAGATCCCTCAGCCTGCTGGCACAGATCCTTCATCCTGCCAACGCAGACTGTCTGGCTTCCACCACTGACCTTTGGACCTTCCCAGCGCAGAGCCTTGATATAAACTTGCATGGGACATTGTCGTGGGCTCTACAGCTTCAACCAGACTCACGGAGGACATTGTCATGGGCTCCAGGTCTTTCATGCAGGACACTGCTGTGGGATCCAGGCCCTCAGCTGGATTCTTTGGGTCTCTAGTGTGTGGAAAGATCTCCTGCACTCTTTTGCATTTGACTCTTTTGGTGAATGTTACAAAATAATCCTATAAATTATATGTTCTGTATTAAATTCTTTCCCTTCTAAACCCTGACTACAAAAATGTCCTAACTTAAAAGTTTGTACTCCCAACAATCTTGAATTTCACCTGAAATTTCTTATCTTTCTCAAGCTTTTTCTGACTGCATAGTTTGTTGTTATCCTCTTAAGTGAATGATTTCAAATGATAAAAAATTCATCTTTAATCTCATTAATTTCTCTATTAAGTTCTTCAACCCATCATAACAAAGTGAGCAAATGTATAAGTACATTTTGTCTGAAAACACTAATATAAGTTTTGGCAAACAGTAAAAATAAGTACAATCACAAAATAACAATAGTTGAGCATTTAGTAAATGTACTTGCATACTCATAGAAATTCTATGAGGTATTTTATGCCCAATTTACAGATGAGGAAAGTGAGGCTCACAAAAGTTAAGTAACCTGCTCCAGACTGACAGAGAGAAAACAGCAGCCAAGTTCCAAATTCAAAGCCACATGCGTTTCTAACTACTACATTAAAATACCTCTTGTTCCAAAGGAAGATTTACGAATTTTAGTCGTAAAAGTTCTATAAAAGTTACACCTTCCTGTTCTGCTGCTGTGAACCAGAGATGCAGATCGTAACTCGATGTGGTGCAGAGTGCTGAGCACTGAGCAGAGACTGACACGTTAGCCTGAAGTGAGGTCCACTTGCCAGACTCCACCACCGATGAAATCTCAGGACTTTTCCTAGGGAGCTCAGGCACAGGGACCTTCACTAGGAGACAAGGGCCACAGAAGAGAACACTATCCTTTGACCATGGAGGGGTATGACTTTTTCTTAAACATTTAAAACTCATAAATCCCACGGCTGTGTGTAATAGTCTTCATCCAGACAGGAAATTCCACCATCTGTAGCCCATCTCCGCGAGGTACAGAACTTGCTCTCCAAGGCCCACCTCTCCCTGTTCTTAACCCCGTCCTCTCTCCGCCCCCTGCAGTCTCAGATCTATTTTCTCCTCTTTCCTGCCATTTCCCAGTCTCTACATCCCACCAGCGTCTTCTCCTCAGCGCACAAACACCCTCTACTCACACTCTGCTTTCTTCTCCTGGGCCCAGCTTCTCTCACCCCTTCAGGTACCCCTTCCATCACCGGGCAACGGTCTGGCTGTGCCCTCATTCAGTGCTGTTTG